TTATTGGCGATATTTTTAAAAATATTTTTCAAATTTTTATATATCTCCTTAAAGAGCCGGAAAGGAAAAATTAATTCGCCAGCAATACATAATTTATGATAAAAACAAATGGTTATTTTGCCGCAACGACCAATTAACTTGGCACGGGATTGTGACAGAAAATACGCTGTTACCTTTGAAGAAATATGCAAGACCGATACATCTCAAAATAAGGCACATTTACCCTCTTTTCTAAAGAATTTCGACTGAAAACAATTTCTCAACGAGCGGTAGCTGTCATGAATTAAAAGCAAGTATCTCGCGATATCTTGGCAGCTTCTTAAAGCAACTTTTAATAAGCTGGACGAGTAGCTAATTATATTATCTTTACTTTTAGCTTGGTTCTTATTTGGCATATCTTCATAGCGGCGTTTAATTCCCGCTAAACAAATTTCCGATTCGACGGACTTGCAGTAAAATTTTCATTACGATGAAAGATAGAACAAAAGTTCACGATACACAAGCTACTTCGCTTTCCGAGATGGCATATCTAAAAGTTTATTACAGATATAACATTACACGATTATGTCATCTTTTTAAAAGGGCAGCTTTTTTGCGATATGATTCATCTTTTGCTATCTTTAAAGCTTTCAAATATATTTCAGATAAAACATACTTTAAAGCTTTCAAATATATTTTAGATAAAAACATACTGCATAAATCCTAATTATTAGCTTGATATATCTACATTTTAAATATTCGAATTACTTTTTTTATTAATATTGCAATTTAACCGTAATTGAAATAATTTACAGATATTTAAGTTTTTGTAGTTACTTGTGATTTCTTCTTAAATAAATTTTTTTCTAAATTACAATATGATATATTAAAATGGTATATGCCATGTATAAATAAAAAAATATTCATTTTGTTTTATTGATATTAAACATGTGTATAAATTTTAGTCGTATTCATTTTATTATGTTCAAATTAAGATTGAATCTTGTTTTCATTTTTCTCAAAAATATATATTTATTACGCTATCATTCAAAAAACATGTGTGTATAGGCATAAAAATACATATGAATAATATATAAATGTACGCGAGTTAACCGTGATGTATTGAGCTCGGATTGAGTTTGCTAAGCCTAAATGATTGTATAGATCTGTTATCCCTCTACGTATATCAATCGCAACAAAGTCGTCATATTATCTCCTGAAAATCCGAACTAACGATGGCTCGTCCCTCAATAATTAACAAAAAACGAACACGTGCGAACAAGTCCGTACGACCACATCCGGTTCGATCCTTTGGCGTATCGTCGTTGTCGTCGTCGTCGTCGTCGTCGTCGTCGTCGTCGTCGTCGTCGTCGTCGTCATCGTTGTCGTCGTCATCATCGTTGTCGTCGTTTTCGTCGTCGTTCTCGTCAATGTCGTGCTTTTTCCTCATTCCCTCTTCTTTGACATAGCGATCGGCACTTCAGTCCCGAGCTCTCTTTTTCCCTCTCGTCAGCCGGTCGAGCACCAAAAAGGAGGACGTTTTGACCGAGGCGCTTTATCGAGGGGCGAGTTACCCGATCGACAATATCTCGACAATTCACCCTCGAGCGGAACGCTGCCGATTCCGTCCGTTTCTCCTCCTCGCCACGCCACCACCACATCTCGTCTCCTCCACGGTCTCGTTCTCTCGTCCTTTCGCACTTTTTCTTTCTCTCTCTCTCTTTCTCCCTCTTTGTTTTTCTCATTTCTCATATTTTCCCCCGTTTTATTTTTTCCCGGAAGGAGAGCCAGCAGCCCGTGGCTGCCGTGCATTCGCGCCTCCCACTTTTCCGGCGCGGCGGTCTGCATGTATCAAAGGTACATAATAAATTGAATATTATATCCAACGGCGCGAACGATAGGATGAGAGAGAAAGGGAGATAAGGCGAGACGAGAAAGAGTGGGAAAGAGAGAGAGAAACGATAAAGAGGAAGAGAGAGCGAGAGCGAGAGCGAGAGAGAGAGAGAGAGAGAGAGAGAGAGAGAGAGAGAGAGAGAGAGAGAGAGAGAGAGAGAGAGAGAGAGAGAGAGAGAGAGAGAGAGAGAGAGAGAGAGAGAGAGAGAGAGAGAGAGAGAGAGAGAGAGAGAGA